TTCATTTTTATTTCGAGTCTGACGTGACACTTGAGCTCGTTTCGTAAAACTTATTACATTTTCAAAGACTTTAGTTTACACACACACACACAACTCTAACTGAACAGAGCTTAAACATCTTCGATTTTTTTTTTTTATACCTGCATTTGCGTGAGGTGATATGTTACAACAGTTTTGGATGAGGTGAAAACAAACTCTCAACACAATCCAGAACACGAAACAATGGGTATTGAAGGTAAGAATGGAAGTAACTGCAAAGGGCCTATTGGCCCATATTTCTTGAAGCTTCTATATTGGAGCGGAGTCTTGAAGTGGGTAGAATATAGTTGTGCATTAATTGGCTGTTGATTGCTGGTGTTAACTTCTTGATGTGTAGTGCCTCGCAGATGTCAAGCCGCCTGCTATCGCTGTATCTATCGATGATTTCTGTGTTGTTTGTTAAGATTTCTCTGGTGATGGTTTGGTTGTGGGAAGAGATTATATGTTCCTTAATGGAGCCCTGTTGCTTATGCATCGATAATCGCCTGGAAAGAGATGTTGTTGTCTTGCCTATATACTGAGTTCTTTGAGGCTTACAGTCCCCAAGAGGGCATTTGAAGGCATAAACGACGTTGGTCTCTTTTAAAACGTTCTGCTTTGTGTCTGGAGAGTTTCTCATGAGTAGGCTGGCCGTTTTCTTGGTTTTATAGTAGATCGTCAATTGTATCCTCTGATTTTTGTCTGTAGGGATAACGTTTCTATTAACAATATCTTTCAGGACCCTTTCCTCCGTTTTATGAGCTGTGGAAAAGAAGTTCCTGTAAAATAGTCTAATAGGGGGTATAGGTGTTGTGTTAGTTGTCTCTTCAGAGGTTGCATGGCGTTTCACTTTCCTTCTTATGATGTCTTCAACGAAACCATTGGAGAAGCCGTTGTTGACTAGGACCTGCCTTACCCTACAGAGTTCTTCGTCGACTTGCTTCCATCCTGAGCTGTGGCTGAGAGCACGGTCGACATAAGCGTTAACAACACTCCTCTTGTACCTGTCAGGGCAGTCGCTGTTGGCATTTAGGCACATTCCTATGTTTGTTTCCTTAGTGTAGACTGCAGTGTGGAAGCCTCCGCTCCTTTTCCATGACTGTTACATCTAGAAAAGGCAGCTTCCCATCCTTTTCCGTCTCGTAAGTGAAACGCAGCACGGAACTCTGCTCAAATGCCTCCTTCAGCTCCTGCAGATGTCTGACATCAGGTACCTGTGTAAAAATGTCGTCAACATACCTGCAGTATATGGCCGGTTTCAAGTTCATGTCGACTAAGACTTTTTGCTCGATGGTACCCATGTAGAAGTTCGCAAACAGGACACCTAGGGGAGAACCCATTTAGAACCCTGCCCTAAAAGGTGATTGTAGTGCTTCTAAAATGCTAAGTTAACCTACAGACATAAACACACAGATTTACGTCTGTCCTACATAAACAGCGTTCGAAGTGTGTTTTTACATAGCATCATTAATGTGCGTTAACAAAGGAGAAATGCAATTATATACACCAAGGGAGCCGGTCGGCCGAGCGGACAGCACACTGGACTTGTGATCCTGTGGTCCCGGGTTCGATCCCGGGCGCCGGCGAGAAACAATGGGCAGAGTTTCTTTCACCCTATGCCCCTGTTACCTAGCAGTAAAATAGGTACCTGGGTGTTAGTCAGCTGTCATGGGCTGCTTCCTGGGGGTGGAGGCCTGGTCGAGGACCGGGCCGCGGGGACACTAAAGCCCCGAAATCATCTCAAGATAACCTCAAGATAACCAATGTCTCTCCTACTTTGACAGGGTAAGATAGCTTATATATAAACTAATTTGATATTAAACATTTACCACTGAAGGTCATTAAGATGCTTTTACAAGCTTAGGTTATATATACATACGTTGTATAACAGATATATTACATATTGTATAGGTACAATATATTGTATAACAGATATATTACATATTGTATAGGTACAATATATTGTATAACAGATATATTACATATTGTATAGGTACAATATATTGTATAACAGATATATTACATATTGTATAGGTACAATATATTGTATAACAGATGTATTACATATTGTATAGGTACAATATATTGTATAACAGATGTATTACATATTGTATAGGTACAATATATTGTATAACAGATATATTACATATTGTATAGGTACAATATATTGTATAACAGATATATTACATATTGTATAGGTACAATATATTGTATAACAGATATATTACATATTGTATAGGTACAATATATTGTATAACAGATATATTACATATTGTATAGGTACAATATATTGTATAACAGATGTATTACATATTGTATAGGTACAATATATTGTATAACAGATATATTACATATTGTATAGGTACAATATATTGTATAACAGATATATTACATATTGTATAGGTACAATATATTGTATAACAGATGTATTACATAGTCACTCTTGGGGTACAAGTCCAATTTACCATCAAGTGTTCCAGTACTTATATAGTAGTTACAGAGTTCAGCATAACTTAGCCCAGGAGGGCGAAGTCAGTCAATATGGGACATTCTATAATATTATGTTCAAGGGAGTGCTATTTTCTCTTACACAAAGTTGACCCATTGTGTATTCGACACTTTCACAAAGTTGACACATGGTGTATTCCACATTTTCTTAAAGTTGACACATGATGTCTTCAACACTTTCACAAAGTTGACACATGGTGTATTGGATACTTTCACAAAGTTGACACATGGTGTATTGGATACTTTCACAAAGTTGACACATGGTGTATTGGATACTTTCACAAAGTTGACACATGATGTATTGGACACGTTCACAAAGTTGACACCTGGTGTATTCCACATCCTGGTGTTGAGAAAGCTACCAGATATGTCTCTATCACAGGCGTATTAAGGCAAGTGGAAGGGCCTGGTGTGGTACCCCTGGTGGGCAGGCGGCCGGCCCTCAACAGTAACGAGTCTTCACCGAGGTAATTGTTTCATGTTTATAACAGCAACTCAACTGACGGTGTTGAGAGGGGGGGGGGGGTAAGGGGAAGGTGTGGCACCTCGAACCTAATTGGTTAGTTGAGAGAGTACGACGCGTTGGTAGTAACGAGCCCGACAAATGGGGGAATAGTTATGGAAGGACGGCAGGTAGTTAGGTAATATATAGATGGTTAATGACGTTATAGTTGTTTAATATTATTGAGGCTGACGAGGTCGTCAACTCGTTTGAAACTGACGGTCCGCTTGGTACAACCGTGTACCATTGTCCCACACGTCGTTGGTTCATGGTACAACTCTAGTTTTCCCTCTACACAAACTCAGGGTTCACATACTCGGTGTTCCTTTTGTTCATTTCCATTTTTTTGTTCCATATGATGTAACCGTTATTGTTCCAAGACGTTGGATTACATTGTCTTAATTGGACTCCACTGTAGTTCTATATATTAAAAGGCCTTGAGAGGTCTGTAGTCGTACGTGCTCTTAAGGTCTAGCTAAATATTTGTGTGTTTATACATTCATTATACATCTTCGTGTGGTGAGTCATTGTACGACCCGTGACGGTCGTGTGGTGAGTCACTGTACGACCCGTGACGGTTGTGTGGTGAGTCACTGTACGACCCGTGACGGTCGTGTGGCCAGGCACTGTACGACCCGTGACGGTCGTGTGGCCAGGCACTGTACGACCCGTGACGGTCGTGAGGCCAGGCACTGTACGACCCGTGACGGTCGTGTAGCCAGACACTGTACGACCCGTGACGGTCGTGTGGCCAGGCACTGTACGACCCGTGACGGTCGTGAGGCCAGGCACTGTACGACCTGTCACTGTACGACCCGTGACGCTTGCATCTTAAGTGCCCCCTTGGCTCGGGGGTCGTAGACTCGTGTTTACACTCGAGTGATCAATGTTTGCCCTCAGGCGTAGGGAACAAGTGCTTCTTAATGAAGCAGGGTAGTAATTGGTGGGAATAAGAGTGAGGTGCGAGCCTCGTGCAGCACAGGAAGCGCTCCTTTGCCTCGCGGGGGGGGACACCAGCCCCCCCACCACACACAGCACTGGGATCACTACTGCCGGAACATGTCCACCTCTCCTCTCCTGCTGGCGTGCTGTGTTCCCTCACACACACCTGCCGACAAGCTGTATTCCCACACACACACCTGCCAGTAAGCTGTGTTGCCACACACACACCTGGCGGCAAGCTGTGTTCCCACACACGACAAACCACTCTAAACTCTCCAGACACTCCCACACTACCAGCTGTTGAGACGTTGCGAAAGAACATGACATACAAGGTGAAGGTGCGACTCCTCGGGGTCTACAAGCGCGAAATTGCAGCCGCCATTGACGCGGCAACATCAGCGGGACCAGTTGACGTCCCATGGTAACGAGGTCGCGGTAATCGTGGCAACAAAACCGGTCCTACAGTAGATCCTGGATCCGGAACGCCGGGTCCCGCTACTGGAGGCGAACCTCTCACCCAGAGAAATCACTGGCGGGAAAACGATACTTGTGAACCAACCCGTTCTCGCATTTTTTACAGTCAATATTGACTTATTAAATACGTGCATATGTGACATACTAAACATACTAGTTTACCTTGAAAAGCTTCATAGAAAACACCGACCTTACCTAACCTTCTTAGTATGTTAAGATAAGCATCTTATTGCTTCGTAATTACAATTATTACTTAACCTATTACAGGTATAGGTATACCTATTATAGGTATAGGTATAATTACAATTATTACTTAACCTATTATAGGTATAGGTATACCTATTATAGGTATAGGTTAAGTAATAATTGTAATTACGAAGCAATAAGATGCTTATCTTAACATACTAAGAAGGTTAGGTAAGGTCGGTGTTTTCTATGAAGCTTTTCAAGGTAAACTAGTATGTTTAGTATGTCACATATGCACGTATTTAATAAGTCAATATTGACTATACGAAAGTGCGAGAACGGGTTGCACATCCAGGTCATCACTGCCTATATGGACGAAGTTGTCAAACAGGATCACAACTTGTTCCTCAGAACAGTGAACGGGCTTCTGGAAGCAAATGGTATTGTGCTTGTACCGGCACCAGTGACTAGTATGGAATTGTGGACACCCAGACCGAAGTCCCACGACTGACGACGACAACTGAGGACACCCAGACCCAAGTCCCACGACTGACGACAACAACTGTGGACACCCAGACGAACGCTCCACGGACGACGACAACTAAGGACACCCAGACGGACGCTAACAGCGGTAGACAACAGAAAGAAAGTAGGAATACTGGCGACACCGGGCGACGACACACTACGCATCTTCAGACGAGGATGTGAACGACAAAGACCTCCCCGGCGTAGCTGAGTGTGGCTCCGAAGATGCAGTCTCGACGTGTCATCGGGTACATACGCCCATGTTTGAGGGCCACGATGCCCCTGGCATGTTAGACACAACCACAGGTCGATAGATACACCGTTTTCAGAAATGGCCAGGCGATCACCATCGACCTACGCAGAGAAATCTCCCACATAGAGGATCTCCCACGATACCCTACACCGTCGCCCGAGGACACCCAGGTACACACACGAAGCCTAAACGAGACACCGAAGAACAGGACAAAATAGAGCCCTGAAGGCCCCTGAGATAGTGATGCTGTAAGAACACACAAGGACTTGTGGCTGCTGCTCGGCCCTCTTGGCACCCCCGCGCCCCTCATCTAGTGCTTCGTGCGGTGTGATTGACTCTCCCAGCTATACAAAAATCCTCGCCCTTGTTGGGTTGAGCCCTGGCTCTACTCTCTGTGATGCAGCAGCTTCCCCTTTAGACAATACGTCAGACCGTCCTACTATCCAGACCCCAGTCACGCACAGATCTACATTACCAGTTACTGGTATTGGTAATGGCTTCAAACAGCTTCCACTTACGGGCTATTCATGCCCGTGCCACCTCTGGGGTGGTTTAATCTTTATCAATCAATCAATTGTAGATATATTTTTTATTATATTTAATTCACGCTGTAGTGTCTTGCACTCACCGTGGTGAAAGTTGACCACTCGACCGTGGAGAAAGCGGCGAGCCGTCCGTGGCTCCTGAAAGCACCGATATTGGAAGGAGATCAATTTTTTGTTGAAATACGAGAAAATAAGAGAATAGTGGCAAATGGCGGTGGGCGTGGGACCTTCATTGAGTGGAATCGGCCACATTTTGGTGGGAAATGGAGTCGGAAATGCTTCCAGAATTGCGGAGAGGCAGTAAATGTTCCAGCACCTCGTCCAACAGGCAGGGGACCTCACCACTGGTGGTGGGTGACGACCCCTAACACCAGGGGCCGGCTGCACGTCCCCACAAGTCCAACTGTGTCGCCTCACCTCTGGCCTCCCACAGCCCAAACGTCACCCCCGCCTGAATCACTACCGGATTGTATTCTTGCTAATAGAGTTTGAGACTTTTTTTTTAAAGTTACGATCCTAGAGTGGGTCGTAATTTCGAGCCCCTAAGTACCTCTGGGGAGAGAACCTCTTAATTAGAAAAATTCTCCCAAGATGCAGGATCCTGATATTATGAGCTTTTAAGGGAGCAGTGTTCACAAATTATAAAAATATGTTTTGAAAAATATATAAATTTAAGTGTTGTATAAATGTATTCTTTTTAAATTGATCTTGTGTGTGTGTTGGAGTAGCCCACCTTCCCTCATCCCCTTGCCCACCATGTGTCGTGGCCCACCATGTGTCGTGGCCCACCATGTGTCGTGGCCCACCATGTGTCGTGGCCCACCATGTGTCGTGGCCCCACCATGTGTCGTGGCCCACCATGTGACGTGGCCCACCATGTAACGTGGCCCACCATGTGAGGTGGCCCACCATGTGAGGTGCCCGACCATGTGACGTGGCCCACCATGTAACGTGGCCCACCATGTGACGTGGCCCACCATGTAACGTGGCCCACCATGTGACGTGGCCCACCATGTAACGTGGCCCACCATGTGACGTGGCCCACCATGTGACGTGGCCCACCATGTAACGTGGCCCACCATGTGAGGTGCCCGACCATGTGACGTGGCCCACCATGTAACGTGGCCCACCATGTGACGTCAAGAAACGTGGCAAGGTGGGACGTCAAAAAATATTTCCCAACACCAAGAAAACGGTCAATTTAAAGTGTCCTCTCCTAACCTACCAGAGGACCTAAAACAGAAAACGGGACAGTACGTCACTATCGCCAGCCGCTTACATGTTCTAGTACGACGATTTTTGGCCTTATGTAACGCCTACGATCGAAAAGCGACGTTCTTTGTAAGAGGAGAGGTTGTGATATCACACTGAATGTCTCCCGAAGCCCAAATGACACGTGTATCATCAGATGAGTGTGTGTGTGGCGACTTCTGACTCGTGGGATTTTGTTAATGAATTCTAATTTATAATTAATAATTTTTTCCGTTAATTTATTTATTTCGGTAGTGGACTGTGTGTCTAATTGAGTTGACTGTATGGTATTAAATTCTCCTGCAAGTAAGTTTCTCACACAAGTTGGGGGGGGGGGTATTAATTATAGCCTATCAATGGAAAGTTATCGACTGACAGGAAAATTTATATTAAGTGTTAATAGGTTATTCTACTTGGATTAATGCAATTCAAACAAAAGCCTTATCTGACTAGAAGGCTTCAACATGCAGGTACAGAACACGTAGAACACTTGGGGTGGCTGGCCAGACTCGTAGTCACGTGCTCACGCACCAAGCAGTTGCTGCTAATGTCTCCACGTTCCCACAGACCATCTGCCGGGAGTAAACATTGTGACTGATACAATAACATCCTAATATCAGATATTATATGATATTAATTATTTAAATTATTATGAGGCTTTGTGTTCGCCCGCCTCATGGACGACTTGTTTTACTAATATTAAGAGGCCCTGTAATAAACTACCAGAATACTCAGATTGTAAACTCTGTGATAAACCTTTAATGCATTCACTAGAACACTATATTGTTGAATGTGAAACCGTAAAAGACTTTAGACCTCCTGGCCTATTGTACCACCAACTGTGTAACTATTTTATTGACTCAGGTGTTCTGGACGACATCCTAACAATTTATCCAAAATTTGCTTGTCCATCTTAAAGAATGAAGAACAATTTTTATTTATATTACTTCTAAGCTGCATCACTTATGAACCCATCCCTGCCCTTGTGTGGCAGTGCACAATAGAAAGTTGTTTTCACATATCCATACATTAAAACATTGATTGTAACCATGATATATATGTGCTTCAGCCTACAGTTTAGACCTATTGTCTTATGTATGACCCTCTGTCCTGCGTGACAGTGAATAGTAGCATTATCCTCACTTTAATAAGACTATCAAAATCCTCAGATTAGGCAAAATTGTAATTAATTTTGTCAATAAAGATGTTAATAATAAAATAATAATATTTCAACAAGCCTGACATGAGGTGCTCCCGTAATGATGAGGTTGAGGCGGTAGATGAACGACTCATGGTTGTGAGTATTGACGGTGCTGTCTGAGGCGCGTCCTCCCTGGAGCCTGCATATAAACTCACAATGGCGTCCCTCTCTCCTTCCCCGGTCAAGTGACGCCACTAAAAACCGGTTCAATTTTCGGTCCATTTATGGACAAAGGTAGGAAGGGAGGCGTTGATTTTATTTATTATTTTATTTAATCCAGTCATAGAGAATACTTTTTTTTGATTGATTCCAATGCCTAGACTGGTGTTTTAAGTTATTGGTGGATATTTAATGGCGTATTTTCTGGGGAGGTGGTAATATTTTCTCGTTTTTCTCCTTGAAATGCCGCAGGTCTTATATTTTTGGTATGATTAAAGACAATACGTTGGGATAGTTTGTTAGTACAAGAAGAGCGGCAATATTAACTGCATATTGTATTAAAGATTATTAAAGGAAGTCGGTTTTTTTCTGACAGTATGCAGGACTGTCTTTAGAAACATGTATAAGGAGTTCAAGACCTTACACCTGTGTCAAATATCTGGAGCTGTGTGGTCTTTATAGCGGACCTGAGCTGGAGAAAGACCCTAGGCTTCCTTCGTAATAAATAACCATAGTATCTCGTGTCACTGGAAGCCACAGATGAGACATGATTTCCACATACAAATTCTCGGGAATTTTCAGGATAGACAAAGACAGATGTGGCACGCACAACATTACGCGAGTTAAAACCATAAATCCACACGAGGCACAGAACCAGTTGAAAGACTATTTCTCATTGTCAGAGTAACGAATACTCTGACAATGAAAACGTATATGAAACGCATTAAATAGGCTGCTGCGGAGACATACTCCGCCAACAGGCTTGCAAAACACGTACATCAGAGCACGAAAACCTCTGAAAATTGTACACGTGCCGACTAAATACCGAGAGGAGGGACCCAAGAGCTGCAGCTTAACCCCAGAAAATAAGTACTGTAAACTTTTGATTACTGCGTGAATGAGATCCAATTTGACCCAACCAAGCCAAGCGTTACCTAAGCCCACCTGACCCAACCAAGCCAAGCGTTACCTAAGCCCACCTGACCCAACCAAGCCAAGCGTTACCTAAGCCCACCTGACCCAACCAAGCCAAGCGTTACCTAAGCCCACCTGACCCAACCAAGCCAAGCGTTACCTAAGCCCACCTGACCCAACCAAGCCAAGCGTTACCTAAGCCCACCTGACCCAACCAAGCCAAGCGTTACCTAAGCCCACCTGACCCAACCAAGCCAAGCGTTACCTAAGCCCACCTGACCCAACCAAGCCAAGCGTTACCTAAGCCCACCTGACCCAACCAAGCCAAGCGTTACCTAAGCCCACCTGACCCAACCAAGCCAAGCGTTACCTAAGCCCACCTGACCCAACCAAGCCTCAGGTAACGTAACCCTCCGCAGAGACTCCAAGGCTTTCAGTTTCTGGGCCGTCACTCCCAGTGATTAATTGTGTTAGGATAGGATGGCTCGCTGTGTTCCTTCCCCAGCCGGCTTGCTGGTCCCTTCCCCAGCCGGCTTGCTGGTCCCTTCCCCAGCCGGCTTGCTGGTCCCTTCCCCAGCTGGCTTGCTGGTC